CGTCGGCCCCCCAGGACAGGCCGAAGATCCACCCGCTGCTCGAGAAGCGCATCGAGTCCGCGCGCGTCGGCAGCTAGACAACTTCTTGCGTGCACACGCAGTGCACTGAGTAAGATGCGGGAGGGGAGGGGGGGCAGAGTGGAGGGCGAGGGGAGGGTGGGGAGGGGAAGGGGGGAACAGGGAGGGTGATAGAGGAAGACAGGAACAAAAACAGAGGAGAGGGAAAGGAAGAGGAACGGAGTGGAACGAGCTAGGAAGGCGAGCGGCAGCAGGACGACAAAGGAGGAAGGAGGAGGGGGGAACGGAGGACTGAGAGGGGAAAGAGGAGGGGGAAAGGACGAGGGCCGATTTAGGAATCCTTCCTTTCTCATGCTCTCTCCCCTCTCGCCTCTCCCCTCCAGTCTTTCCCCCTCCCGCCTCTGTCCCTTTCCGCCAGTCGATTGGGTTCTATATGAAGGCTTTCGCCGCGAATCCGCCCGACCCTCAGTCCTCCCCCTTCTCCGTCGCGCGGTCCTGGGTCCCGCCCCGCTCCCCCCGTGCAGGCATCTGCAAAGTCTACTGGGGGGCGCCTGGCCTCCCAGTGAATTGTGAGGGTTTTGAGGTGCGTTGGCAAGGTTGGTATGACTTCAGGGTGCCCGACGCTTTCAGGATGCGGCGTCGTCGTCGCGATCGGCCTCGTCGCGTCGCTGGATTCGTCTCGGCACTCGGTCAATTCTGATTCTACTTTTTTTGGGGGGGGAGGCAAGAAAGTAAGCAACAAAACAGCGCGTCAACATAACGTGCCAAGAGTGCTTCAAACACCAAAAAAACAGTGGTACATGACAGTGGTTAGCGCGAGCGACAAAACAGCGGTTTTGATTTTTTGCGCCTAGGCCCTCCTGTAGGGGGGCACGCCGACTACAGGAGGAGGAGGAGGAGGAGGAGGAGGAGGAGGAGGAGGAGGGAGGAGGAGAGGAGGAGGAGGAGGAGGCGGATGAGGGAGGATTGAGGAGCAGGAGGAGGTCAACCGGGTACCAGGACGAAGGTCACACCCCTTAGGGGCGACCCACGGTCGTCGCCGGGACAGGAGAGCACAATGGCGTGACGTGTGGCGCGCTCCAGAGAGAGAGAGAGAGCTTCGCCGTCGAGAGGTCGAGGGAGTCCGCCTCTCATCGGACGCCGGCGGAAGCAAGACGGGGGCGGCTCCGCTGGTGGAAGCGGGCGGAAGGCTGGCGGAAGGTGGAGGAAGTAGAAGGAGAGCCGATATTTGTTTCGGGAATGGGTTCCGAAACCGACCAGAAAGAGGGGGGGGACGTGGGGGCTCTCGTCGCCATCTGGCCCCGAGGCCCTCGGCGCCCGTACCTCTGAGCTCTCGGGGTTTCGCCTGCCAGGCAGCTGCGGCAGGCAGGCCAGAGACAGGTAGCAGGCCCCGACGTCGCACCGCGACGAAACATCGACTGGGTGGAGGGACGTGGCGCGAGGATGGGCCGACGAAGAAAAGCAGGCATGGACAGAAACTTTCGGAGGTCCGCGAGGATTTTTTGGATCGGCGCTGGACCTCCCTCCCTAGCGCGCGGAGCGCACAAGGGGCGGCGCCCGAGGCGCCGCTTGGGGCTCCCAGCGCAGACATATCTATATTTATATATGTATATATATATATATATATATGTATATTCAAGACAGCATTGGGGCTTCGCGCCATGCACCTTGGTCCTTGAAGTTTGGTGTGCAGGCGGAAACGCAGGAAGGTCAAGCCGACAATTTAGCGATAACTCCTTGTTGCCTTTTCCGGTATCGCCGCTATAATAATGTGATTCGTTATCCTGACTCCATGCTTCTTTTTTTCATGTTCGCCATACCCTGCGCATTTTCCCCATCCTCCGCAGCTCTTTTTTGCGGAGGCCTCCCTTGGAGAGCCTTTGGGGGCCTCACAAAAGTTGTTTCAGGCTTTCTTAAGGCCTTCTGGAGGCCTCCTGAGCGTATTCTGGGGGCCTCTGGGGGCTTCCTCGAGCCACCCTGCTTCCAACCGCGGTCTCCCTGAACGACCGGGTCACGATTTGGAGTGCTTCGGAGGGCGTCTTGGGGCCATCTTGGGCCGCCATAGGGGCCCTCTGCGGGCCATCTTGGACCCGTGTTGTGCCGTTTTGGGGCTCTCTTGGACTGCCCGGAAGCCCTTTCGGATGGTTGTGGGGCGATTTTGGAGCCTCCCAGGCGGCTTCGGACGCCCAGAAGACCGCCGTCTTTGAGCATCGGGAAGCCGAAAAGAGGAGAACCCCCAAATTCACCAAAAACCAATAGAAAATCATGATTTTTGCCTCTTCGGGCCTTCTTGGGAGTGCTCTTGGAGGCCTCTTTGGGGCCGTCCTGGAGGCTTCTTGAGCCATCTGGAGGTCACGTCGATCACTCTTGGAGCGCTCTTGTGCTGTCGTGGGGGTCTCTGGGACGTCTCCGATGACCCCCCTGATCGCCTTAGGTGTGCTGGGAAGGCTTGGCAAAACGCCCTGCGAGGTCCGGGGGGGCGCTTCGAGGCCCGTCCAGAGGGTCCCAAAGCTCCAGATCCCGGGAGTCCGTTTTTCCCAACCATCCTGTGGTGTTGGGTCCTCGTTTTGAAGAAACGGTCCCCGCGTTCCTTCTCCTCCTCCTCCTCCTCCTTCTCCTCGCCCTCCTCCCTCCAGGGTTCGCATGCCTCCCCACCACCCATTTCGGCACACCCCTCACACGTTTCGTGGCCCCATAGGGAGCTCCACCGAAGGCCCCAGTGGCTGCGTTCGCATGGCCTCCCCACCACCATTTCGGCACACCCCTCACACGTTTCGTGGCCCCATAGGGAGCTCCACCGAAGGCCCCAGTGGCAGGGTCCGCATGCCTCCCCACCACCCATTTCGGCACACCCCTCACACGTTTCGTGGCCCCATAGGGAGCTCCACCGAAGGCCCCAGTGGCTGCGTTCGCATGCCTCCCCACCGCCCATTTCGGCACACCCATCACACGTTTCGTGGCCCCATAGGGAGCTCCACCGAAGGCCCCAGTGGCTGCGTTCGCATGCCTCCCCACCACCCATTTCGGCACACCCCTCACACGTTTCGTGGCCCCATAGGGAGCTCCACCGAAGGCCCCAGTGGCTGCGTTCGCATGCCTCCCCACCACCCATTTCGGCACACCCCTCACACGCTTCGTGGCCCCATAGGGAGCTCCACCGAAGGCCCCAGTGGCTGCGTTCGCATGCCTCCCCACCACCCATTTCGGCACACCCCTCACACGTTTCGTGGCCCCATAGGGAGCTCCACCGAAGGCCCCAGTGGCTGCGTTCGCATGCCTCCCCACCACCCATTTCGGCACACCCCTCACACGTTTCGTGGCCCCATAGGGAGCTCCACCGAAGCCCCAGTGGCTGCGTTCGCATGCCTCCCCACCACCATTTCGGCACACCCCTCACACGTTTCGTGGCCCCATAGGAGCTCCACCGAATGCCACCAGTGGCTGCGTACGCATGCCTCCCACCACCCATTTCGGCACACCCCTCACACGTTTCGTGGCCCCATAGGGAGCTCCACCGAAGGCCCCAGTGGCTGCGTTCGCATGCCTCCCCACCACCCATTTCGGCACACCCCTCACACGTTTCGTGGCCCCATAGGGAGCTCCACCGAAGGCCCCAGCGGCTGCGTTCGCATGCCTCCCCACCACCCATTTCGGCACACCCTCACACGTTTCGTGGCCCCATAGGGAGCTCCACCGAAGGCCCCAGTGGCTGCGTCCGCATGCCTCCCCACCACCCATTTCGGCACACCCCTCACACGTTTCGTGGCCCCATAGGGAGCTCCACCGAAGGCCCCAGTGGCTGCGTTCGCATGCCTCCCCACCACCCATTTCGGCACACCCCTCACACGTTTCGTGGCCCCATAGGGAGCTCCACCGAAGGCCCCAGTGGCCCCCACCACCCATTTCGGCACACCCCTCACACGTTTCGTGGCCCCATAGGGAGCTCCACCGAAGGCCCCAGTGGCTGCGTTCGCATGCCTCCCCACCACCCATTTCGGCACACCCCTCACACGTTTCGTGGCCCCATAGGGAGCTCCACCGAAGGCCCCAGTGGCAGGGTCCGCATGCCTCCCCACCACCCATTTCGGCACACCCTTCACACGTTTCGTGGCCCCATAGGGAGCTCCACCGAAGGCCCCAGTGGCGCGGTGCCTATGAGAAGAGGGGCCTAGTTTGCGTGCCCCCTCCTTCGTCTCATATCCGTGCGGTACTCGCAGCTGCATATGGTTGGGTCCTTCGCCAGGCTATTTTTTTTGGGGGGGGGGACCCCTTTCGCGTTCCGCCCGGATTGTAAACATATATAAAGGGAATATATATATATAATATATATATATATATATATATATATATATATACATTATAGATAAAAGCAGCGAGTGCTGGAATGGGCTTCGGTTCTCGTGTCAGGAAGGCGAATGCAGGGCGCCACGCGTTCGCCGTCCCGTGCTGCGCGCGCCCGCGGGCCGCGCCGTTCCGCGCCGCTCCGTGCCAGCGTGCCGTGCCGTGCCCCGCCATGCCCGCGTGCCGTGCCGCGTCGCGCCCAGGTGCTGGACCGCGGGGAGATTGCTGCCCGCCCTGCGTGCCCGCGTGCGCCGAGGCCGTGCTCGTGTGCCGAGGCCGTGCCGTGCGCGCCGTGCCGCGCCCGGCCGCAGGAGTGCGGCCGAGGGGGCGCGCCGTGGGCGTGGCGTGCCCGCGTGCCGTGGGCGTGCCGTGCCTGGTCTTCGGGCTGCGGAAGAGTGGCCGCCCGCGCGCCGCGCCGTGCCTGGCCCGCGGAGCTGCAGAAGGCGGCATCGTTGCCGTGCCTTGCCGGGTGGTGAGACAGCGAAAGAGCTGCTGTGTCTTGCCGTGCCGACCACGCGTCGGATCGTGCAGCGCTGGTGTTCGGGGGTTCTGTGCCAGCGTGATTGGTGTGCAGGTGATGGGTTTGGAGGTGGGCTGGCGGACGGGGCTTGGCGGGCGCCGCGGCCAGCGCTCCCGGCGAGGCGGGCGGGGGCGACGACTCCCTGGCCCTTGGCCTGATCGCGGAGGAGTTCAAGGCGCGCCCTCGCGGCTCGTCTTCGAAGCAGCGGCATGAACATGCTTGCCAGTGTGGGCCCCAATCTCAGTGAGCTATCGCATGCAGTGCAGTCTGTGCGGTGCAGTCTGTCTGGTGTCAGACGTGTGGTGCAGGCGGCGCGGTCACCGCAGCGTGCACTCCTACGTGGTGGAAGCTGTGTGATGCGGGCGCTGCGGTGCAGGCCACGTGGTGCAGTCGATGCGGTGCAAGCTCTGCGGTGCAAGCTCTGTGGTGTAGGCCGACTGGCCGCCCACGGGGCGCCCACGTGGCGCCCACGTGGCGGCCACGCGCGGCAGCGCTGGCGAACCCATCGGCACACCCATCGAGCACACGGGGCGCCCACGGGAGGCCACGGGCGGCAACGCTGGCGAAGCCCTCCGCACACCTGGCCACTTATTCTCGGTATCCTCAGATGGGCATCTTGGTATCATTCACACGGCTCCGAGAGAACAGCCTCCTCCTCACCTCCTCTCCCTCACCTCAATCAGGGTGACTCACTCACACTCCTACTCACTCGCACTCAGGCTCACTCATACTCTGACCCACTCGCACTCAGACTCATTTACCGTCAGACTCACTCACACTGAGACTCACTCATACTCAGACTCAGCACGCTCAGACTCACTCGCACTCAGACTCACTCGCATTTAGACTCACTCACTCTCGCACTCAGTCACAGTCAGACCAACTCACACTCATACTCCTCTCATAACCAGACCCAGAACTACTCATACCCATTATTGGCCCAGTGCTCATCCCGATATTCCAGGCGTAGCATCTTGGCACCCCGAGGAGGCGGCGCCATGAGGTGGGGACACTCCAGGATTCGCGCCCAGATTGTGGAGATGTCTCAGGCGGTTTGCCCGTTTGCGTGCCCGGCACCCTCTGCTTTCGGAGCAGATCCTAAGGATGTCTCAGGCGAGGCGCTGGTTCCAGCCCTCCTAAGTGGAGCCGCCAGGGGTGGAGACATTCCAGGTTTCGCCCAGCTTGTGGGGATGTCTCAGGCGGTTTGCCCGTTTGTGTGCACAACACTCTGCTTTTGAGGATGTCTCAGGCGAGGCGCTGGTTTACAGCACTCCTAAGGAGGACACCACTGGTGGGGACATTCCAGGATTCGCGCCCAGATTGTGGGGATGTCCCAGGCGGTTTGCCTGTGTGCTTGCCCGACACCCCCTACTTTCGGAGCAGAGCCTAAGGATGTCTCAGGCGAGGCGCTGGTTTTAACACTCCTACGGGAGGCGCCAGGGGTGGGGACACTCCAGGATCCTTGCCCAGATTGTGGGGATGTCTCAGGCGGTTTGCCCGTTTGTGTGCCCAGCACCCTTTGCATTCAAAGCAAGTTGTGGGGATGGTTTGCTTGTTTCTGCCCCCCTCAATGTGTTGTTATGTTTTGTTGTTAAAACATATACATGTATTCGTTGTATGGTCTACCGCTCACCACGATATAGCAGGCGTGGCACTTGAGCACCCCAAGGCGGAGCCGCCAGTGGGTGCCTGTTTCTTTATCCAGAGTTTTTCCTTTTGGTGGTCCAATGCTCACCGCGATATAGCAGCAAGGTACTTGGGCGCCCCAATTTGTAGCCGCCATGGGTGGGGACACTCCAGGGTTCGCGTCCAGTTTGTGGGGATGTCTCCGGCTGTTTGCGTGTTTCTGCCCCCCCCCCGAGACTTTTCTCTTTTGGTTGTCCAGGCGTGGCATTTGGGCACCCCAGGGCGGAGCCGCCAGGGGTGAGGACACTTCAGGATTCGCGTTCAGATTGGGGGATGATTCGGGCGGTTTTCTTGTCTCTGTACCTCCAGACTTTTTTTTGGATTTGTGTGCTCCTCACTCACTCACTCACCTTCTGTCCTTTTCCCCACTCGGACGCATCAGTCGCACCCGGACTTACTCATCAACAACTTCTGGCCATTCTGACCCACCCAGACTCACTCATCATATTCAGACTGGCTCATACCCACCATATTCGATCATACTCAGACTCACACATACTTACGCGCTCATGAACAAGTTTCCTCAAGCTCAGACTCACTCACACCCAGACCAACTCACACTCGGACTCACTCACATTCAGACTCACCGGCCCTAAGACTCACTCGTACTCAGACTACCTCGCACCCAGGCTCACCTCATACTCAGATTTCTATTCGTCACGTTCATTTCAGACTCAGCCACACTCTCACACTCAGGCCCACTCGCACTTGGAATCGCTCGCACTCAGACTCACTCATGCTCAGACGCACTCGTGCTCACACTGATTATCACATGCAGGCTCAATCGTACCCGGATCCACTCCCACTCCGAATCGCTCACTCTCAGATCGCCCACGCTCAGATTCATTCGCGCTGAGGCCCACACACAAATGGTTACCGCGACAAAGCCTGCGCGGCACTAGTTGGGTACCCCAAATGCCAGCAGGCGCCGCGAGTAGCACGCCAGAGACCAGGCGTAGACACGCCACGCGCGCTTGCCTGAGTTGCCGCGGGGAGAGCGGCGAGAAGAGCTTCCAGTCGCTCTTCCACTTGTGTTGCCCCTCGTCTCTCCTGAAAGATGTCCTGGGGAAGAGGAAGGAGGAGGAGTAGGAGGAGGAGGAGGAGGAGGAGGGGGAGGAGGAGGAGGGAGGAGGGGGAGGGGGGAGGAGGAGGGAGGAGGGAGGGGGGAGGAGGAGGAGGAGGAGGAGGAGGAGGAGGAGGAGGAGGAGGAGGAGGAGGAGGAGGAGGAGGAGGAGGAGGAGGAGGAGGAGGAGGAGGAGGAGGAGGAGGGAGGAGGAGGAGGAGGAGGAGGAGGAGGAGGAGGAGGAGGAGGAGGAGGAGGAGGAGGAGGCGGAGGAGGAGGAGGAGGAGGAGGAGGAGGAGGAGGAGGAGGAGGAGGAGGAGAGAGGAGGAGGAGGAGGAGGAGGAGGAGGAGGAGGAGGAGGAAGGAGGAGGAGGAGGAGGAGGAGGAGGAGGAGGAGGAGGAGGAGGAGGAGGAGAGGAGGAGGAGGAGGGAGGAGGGAGGAGGAGGAGGAGGAGGAGGAGGAGGAGGAGGAGGAGGAGGAGGAGGAGGAGGAGGAGGAGGAGAGGAGGAGGGAGGAGGAGGAGGCGGAGGAGGAGGAGGAGGAGGGAGGAGGAGGAGGAGGAGGAGGAGGAGGAGGAGGAGGAGGAGGAGGAGGAGGAGGAGGAGGAGGAGGAGGAGGAGGAGGAGGGAGGAGGAGGAGGAGGAGGAGGAGGAGGAGGAGGAGGAGGAGAGGAGGAGGAGGAGGAGGAGGAGGAGGAGGAGGAGGAGGAGAAGAAGAAGAGAAGAAGAGGAGGAGGAGGAGGAGGAGGAGGAGGAGGAGGGAGGAGGGAGGGAGGAGGAGGAGGAGGAGGAGGACGTCACTGAAGTCGTCGCTGTCGTCATTGCCGCGCCTGTCGTCTACGCAGACTCGCTCACACACCGAGATGCACATACACGGAGCTGCACAGCGAAATGTGAAAGGCGTATGAGATGCACATTTGGGGACCTCCGCGCCGAGTATGTTTCAATTCTTTACGCTTCGCGTATCCCCACCAGCCCATCTCACAGCAGCAACTCTTGCGAAGCATGCCGACAGTCGTGTTTTGCAGGCGTGTGTCCGCTTGGCCCCGCATATCTCCCCTGTTCCTCCTTCCTCCCGCCTCCTTGTACATCCTCCTTGTGGGGGGAGCGGGAGAAGGACGAGGCGGAGGAGGAGGGAGAGAAAGCGCTCCTCGTGGTTTGAGTCGTTTGGGGTTTCTCGTCCTGGTGTGAGTCGTTCGGGCCCTTCTTCCTGGTGTGAGTCGTTCGGGCTCTTCGTGGTGTGAGTCGTTCGGGCTCTTCGTCCTGGTGTGAGTCGTTCGGGCTTCTCGTGGTGTGAGTTGTTCGGGCCCCTCGTCCTGGTGTGAGTCGTTCGGGCCCCTCCTCCTGGTGTGACTCGTTCGGGCTCCTCGTGGTGTGAGTCGTTCGGGGCCCTCGTCGTGGTGTGAGTCGTTCGGGCTCCTCGTGGTGTGAGTCGTTCGGGCGCCTCGTCCTGGTGTGAGTCGTTCGGGCCCCTCCTTCTGGTGTGAGTCGTTCGGGCTCTTCGTGGTGTGAGTCGTTCGGGCCCCTCGTCCTGGTGTGAGTCGTTCGGGCTCCTCGTGGCGTGAGGCGTTCGGGCACCTCGTCCCCTTTTGGGGCGTCTTGGGGGCCTCTTGGCGGCCCCAGGGGCTTCTAGGAGCGTCTTGGGTGCCTTGGGGGAGCCTCTTCGGGCCTCTTGGGAGCCTCTTGGAGGCCGTTTGGGGCGTCTTGGGGGCCTCTTGGCGGCCCCAGGGGCTTCCAGGAGCGTCTTGGGTGCCTCGGGGGAGCCTCTTGGGGCCTCTTGGGGGCCTCTTGGGGGCATCTTTGGGGCCTCTGGGAGGCCTCTTGGGGGCCTCATGAGGACCTCTTGGGGCCATCTTGGGGCCTCTTGGTGCCTCCTGGTGTGAGTCGTTCGGGCTTCTCGTGGTGTGAGTTGTTCGGGCCCCTCGTCCTGGTGTGAGTCGTTCGGGCCCCTTCTCCTGGTATGGCTCGTTCGGGCTCCTCGTGGTGTGAGTCGTTCGGGGCCCTCGTCGTGGTGTGAGTCGTTCGGGCTCCTCGTGGTGTGAGTCGTTCGGGCGCCTCGTCCTGGTGTGAGTCGTTCGGGCCCCTCCTTCTGGTGTGAGTCGTTCGGGCTCTTCGTGGTGTGAGTCGTTCGGGCCCCTCGTCCTGGTGTGAGTCGTTCGGGCTCCTCGTGGCGTGAGGCGTTCGGGCACCTCGTCCCCTTTTGGGGCGTCTTGGGGGCCTCTTGGCGGCCCCAGGGGCTTCTAGGAGCGTCTTGGGTGCCTTGGGGGAGCCTCTTCGGGCCTCTTGGGAGCCTCTTGGAGGCCGTTTGGGGCGTCTTGGGGGCCTCTTGGCGGCCCCAGGGGCTTCCAGGAGCGTCTTGGGTGCCTCGGGGGAGCCTCTTGGGGCCTCTTGGGGGCCTCTTGGGGGCATCTTGGGGGCCTCTGGGAGGCCTCTTGGGGGCCTCCTGGGGACCTCTTGGGGCCATCTTGGGGCCTCTTGGTGCCTCCTGGTGTGAGTCGTTCGGGCTTCTCGTGGTGTGAGTGTTCGGGCCCCTCGTCCTGGTGTGAGTCGTTCGGGCCCCTCGTGGTGTGAGTCGTTCGGGCACCTCGTCCTGGTGTGAGTCGTTCGGGCCCCTCCTTCTGGTGTGAGTCGTTCGGGCTCTTCGTGGTGTGAGTCGTTCGGGCCCCTCGTCCTGGTGTGAGTCGTTCGGGCTCCTCGTGGCGTGAGGCGTTCGGGCACCTCGTCCCCTTTTGGGGCGTCTTGGGGGCCTCTTGGCGGCCCCAGGGGCTTCTAGGAGCGTCTTGGGTGCCTTGGGGGAGCCTCTTCGGGCCTCTTGGGAGCCTCTTGGAGGCCGTTTGGGGCGTCTTGGGGGCCTCTTGGCGGCCCCAGGGGCTTCCAGGAGCGTCTTGGGTGCCTCGGGGGAGCCTCTTGGGGCCTCTTGGGGGCCTCTTGGGGGCATCTTGGGGGCCTCTGGGAGGCCTCTTGGGTGCCTCGGGGGACCTCTTGGGGCCATCTTGGGGCCTCTTGGTGACTCCTGGGCGCTTCTTGGGGCCATCTTGGAGGGAATGGATCAAAGAAGAGGGGAGCTTTAATGAGCGCTGCCCCCTCAGAAGGGCACAATGAGCCCAAAACCTTCGTAGAACCAATGATTTTGCCTTGAAGGAAGAGGAGAACTTGAATGAGCGCGGCCCCCTCAGAAGGCCAAAATGGGGCGAAAACCGTAGTAAAATCAATGATTTTGGCTTCACAGAAGAGGAGAGGTTTTTTTCTGCCTCCCACCGTCGGGGCCAGAATCCTCGTGAGGGTCGTCGTTTTTTTAGCCCTCCCAGGAGTCGGAAATGACCCCCCTGACGACCCGCGAGGCGCCCTCTCCAGGTCCAGGGGGAGGGGGTAGGGGGAGGGGTAAACCCCTCCCCGAAGGGGAAGAAGGGGGGTTGGGGGGTTGAGAACAGAGAGAGCTCGCTAAACCACTCACGCCCAAATGGCTGGTGGGATTTCTGCAAGAAGCCCTACGTGCGAAGCCCTGTTTGGAGAATGATGTTTCGAGAGTCCGTGCGGAATTCTTGGACCTGCGCTGGACTCCCCTTGCGGCGCTTCCAGCACCGCCCCTGGCGCGATCCGCGCCGTGCAGGGGTGTCCAGCACCGATCCATGAAATCCACGCGGAACTTCGAAAGTGAACGTTTGTGCAGCTGTCTTCCTTCTTCTTCTTCTTCTTCTTCTTTTGTATCTCTCCCTTCTCCTCGTTTCCTCAAAGACCAGGCAGCAGGCCCTTGATGCCTTACAGGACCCCCCACGAAACCCAGACCCATCTCGAGGCTCAAACTCTACCTGTGCTTTCGGCGGAAGATGTCGGATGGAGGTCCCCGCTCGAATATGAAAGCCTTTTGGGCCCCCAGCAGTAGCAACTGGCGTACGAACCTGAAGCGTGCCCCCAACAGGCGGCGAGGCCCAAGTCCAGCGGCTCACAGGTTCACGAGCGAAGAACTGAGAGCCTAAGGAAAATATTCGAATCCTAGAGCTCCTTCGGCCGCCCCTTCTGTACACCCCCGTTTCCTTTGCAGACGTGTGGATTTCTGCGCATGCGGCCGGAATCCCTTGAAACAGATGCCACGCGGCGCACACAGGATCCTGCAGCTCGTGTGGTCCTTATCAACAACATGTAACCCCGTGCGTACCTGCGCGCGCGCGTTCAGGTCCTAAGCGCTCCCAGGCGCTTCCCAGGCCTTCCTAGGCGCTTCCGATCGTTCCCAGGCGCTCCTTGGGGACCCCGGCGTTCCAGGCGCTCCCCAGGCGTTCCCAGGCGCTCCCGAGCTCCTGGGGAGGGCGCCCAAGATTTTTGCGCGCTCCCAGGCGCATCCCAGACGCTCCCGAGCGCCGCCAGGTGCCTCGAGGCGTCAGGCGTTCCCTGGCGCTCACCAGGCGCTCCCAAGCGCCTCTAAGCGCTCCCAGACGCTCCCCGGGCATCCGCATGCTGTTCCAGGCGCTCCCCAGGCGCCCCCGGGCGCTCCCGAGCTCCTGGGGAAGGTTCGCCAGACCCACGCACTCCCAGGCGCTCCCCAGGCGCTCCCCAGGCGCCCCCGCGCGCCTCCAAGCGCCTTGAGGCTTCCCTGGGCGCTTCTGCGTCTAGGATCTCGGCAAATGACACCGCGCAGCGAGCTTCTTCGCTAGTCGCAAGGCGCTTCTGCGCATCAGGGATGGTGTCCTTCGCGAAAGGTGCGGGCGCGACCTCGACCCTTGCGGGTCAAGATCCGTGCCTGGGCCCTTCCACAGGGGCCGCCACGCGGAGGCTGGACATGGCCCCCTGGGGCTCCGCGCGGCGGCGCACGGGCGGTCGAGGCCCGGTCGGGCGCCAAGACCTTCGAACCAGAGTCGGCGGACATCGCGAAGCGCAGCCCCCAGCGGCGCGCCAAGTTGGTCTGTGCATCGCCAATGCGTCGGCAACCCTCTGCGGAGCACTACCCGCGGGTCGCCTCGCAATCCCGCGCCGCATCGCCGCTGCATCGGCCTTCGAGGCGCTGCCTGGGCACCGCGCGCCTGAGCCCGCGCCGTTTCTCCACGGGGCATCCCCTGACGTCACTGACAGCTCTTCGCGTTTGGGGCCATGGTCGGAGGGCACACTTGTGGGGGTGGACATTGCGAAGCTCAGTCCCTAGCGACGTGCCAAGCTGCGCTACGCACCGCCAGTGCGTCGTCGGCAATCTGCTGTGGAGAACAACCCACTGGTCGCGTGGGCTCTGTTCCGCACCGCCACTGTATCGGCCATCGAAACGTCGCATAAACGCAGTGCGCGTCGCATCGCGCTGAGTAATCGTCGTCGACGCGTTGAGTGGTGGGTGGGACACGTTCAACAGGTTTCGAGTGTGGCTAGTGGACCCTAAACCCTAAATCCCAGACCCCAACCCTAAACCCTGTCCCCATTCCTCGCTGCTCCCGCCCCCCCCCCAATCCTGTCTCTCTGTCCTTCCCCTTCTTTCTCTTGTCCTCTCTTTCCTCCCCTTGTCCTCGTCCCCTCTCTTCCCCCTGCCCCTCCACCTCCCCTGTCTGCTCCTTATTTTTTTGAACCTCGAGCCTCTCTCTCTCTCTCTCTCCTTCTTTCCCTCCCTCCGCCCCGTCGCGTCGTGCCTTGCTCTGTCTGCCCTGCCCCATCCTGTGCTGTCCTCTCTCTCTCTCTCTCTCTCTCTCTCTCTCTCTCTCCCTCTGCCACTCTGCCTGCCTGCCTGCCTGCCTGCCTGCCTGCCTGCCTGCCTGCCTGCCTGCCTGTCGGCCTGCCTGTCAGTCGGCGTGTCTGTCTGCCTGCCTCTCCGCGCGGCCCTCCCTCGCCGAGCCGGCGCTCGGCGGGCACCTCGCGTTGGCTGCCAGGTCTTCGGCATGCTCCCCGCCGAGCCCGGCGGCACCGGCTCCTGGCGCTTCGCCGCCCACGGGGCCAACAGGCTCCCCGAGGGGGGAGGGGGCCCCGTGCTACGGCGCTCGCCGCCTCCGTCTTCCTCTCTTCCCCGTCCTTCGTCCCCCACTAGTATGGGGGTACCTGTAGTCCGGGGAGGGGTAAAAGTAGTCTGGGGGAGGGGTATCTGTAGTCTGGGGGGGTAACGAGTAGTCTGGGGCAGCGGGGGGTACCTGCAGCCTGGGGGGGAACGTGTCAACGTACGCGTGGATGTAGTCTGGGGTGGTACCTGTGATCCAGGGGGGGGGGTACCTGCAACCGTGGGGGGGGGGTACCCGTCATCCGGGGGTGGGATACCTGTAGTCGGTGGGGGGGGGTACCTGTCGTCCAGGGGTAGGGTACTTGAAGTCTGGGGCGAGGGTACCTGTAGTCCGGGGGGTCCTTGTAGTCCGGCGGCCCAGAACTATTGAGGGACACAGAGTACTTCGTCCGCCCCCTTCTGTTCGGCAGCGAAAGCCGAGCCCTGTCGTCGCCGATCCACGATTCAGGCCACTGGATGGGCGGCGGGGGCATGGCTTGGAATGCGTCGAAGTTGTGACGAAGACCGAACCCTACCTCCGCATTACACCGGTTCAGGAGAATCGATGGCTGGTGGGTGTAGGGTTTGGACGTCGCCACCTATCCTGTCCTGCGGGATTGCGGGATTGGCGGCGCCATGTCCAGAGGGACGAACGGATTTTGAGGGTACCATTGCGTCTTTGCGTCGTTCTTGTTTTTGGTCCCGACGCCCACTGAGGAAGGACCCGGGTCGGTCAGGGTACCCCTTGGGTCCCTGGGATTGTTGCCTTGCGCAGTTTAAACCTTTCAACTTGACTGCAGGGCGAACCTCTCCTCAAGCGCCTCCCCGAGTAGAGCGAGCCCCAAGGCACCGTGGCGGAGGGGGGGGTCCCAGGAGGGGGAGCTGAGAGCCTTGGACCCGCCTTCGCGGCGGCTTCGCCCACCGTCACGTCGTATCGTGGGCAGTTTGTGATGTCGATGATAAACTTTTTCCTCCCGATCTCCGCATCTTCCGCTCTCCTGCCTTCCGTCGGTCGAAGAGGACAAAGCGTATAAGCATTAATTTCTGGCGCTCCGCGCGGCTTTCTTGGATCGGCGCCTGGGTCCCCCTGGCGGCGCCTCTGGTGCCGCCCCTGGCGCGCTCCGCGCGCCAGGGAGGGGGTCCAGCGCAGGTCCAAGAAACCCGCGCGGAGCGCCAACAGGTAATATGTATGCCGTCTTTTTCTTTTTCTGTTCCTCCATCTCCTCTCTCCCTCTCTCTCTCTGTCCCTCCCGTCGGGCGATCGTGCCCTACGCCCCGCGAAGGGGGGAGGCCGCCTGCCCCCTTCCCCCCTCCCTGCCGTGGTGCTCGTGCTCGGCGCGCGCGCGCGCCGCCCTCCTTCCTATGGTGCTTCCTGAGGGGTGTTAGGTCACATAGACGCGTTCTTGGAGGCCCGTCCCCCCCCTCCGGCCCTCCTCCCCCTCCCCCGTACCACCCCCCCCGCTCTCCCCCCCCACCTCCCCCACCCATGGGCCAAAGGCAAGATCAGGTAACTAGTGCGGAGGAGGAGGAGGAGGAGGAGGAGGAGGAGGAGGAGGAGGAGGAGGAGGAGGAGGAGGATGCTGCTGCTGCTGCTGATGATGATGATGATGATGGTGATGATGAGGAGGAGGAAGAGGAGGAGGCGGACGAGGAGGAGGAGGATGATGACGCTGATGCTGATGCTGATGATGCTGCTGATGATGATGCTTATGATGATTATGATGCTGCCGATGCTGCTGCTGATGATGCTGTTGCTACTGATGATGATAATGAGGATGATGACGATGAAGATGACGATGATGATGCTGATGCTGATGCTGCTGTTGATGATGATGCTGATCATGGTGCTGATGATGCTGCTGCTGCTGCTGAGGAGGAGGATGAGGAGGAGGAGGAGGATGAGGAGGAGGAGGCGGAAGAGGAAAAGGAGCAGGAGCGGGAGCAAGAACATGAGCATGAGCAGGGGCGGTAGGCGGAGGCGGAGGCGGAGGCGGAGGAGGCGAAGGAGGAGGAGGCGGAGGAGGAGGAGGACGAGAAGGAGGAGGCGGAGGAGGAGGAGGAGGAGGAGGAGGAGGAGGCAGGTAGGAGGAGGAGGAGGCGTACGAGGAGGGGAAGCAAGGAGAGGGAGCAGGAACAGGAGCAGGAGGAGGGGAGGGTGAAACGGAAGGATGGAGGAGAGGAGGAGGAGGCGGAGGAGGAGGAGGAGGAGGAGGAGGAGGAGGAGGAGGAGGAGTAGGAGGAGAGGAGGAGGAGGAGGAGGAGGAGGAGGAGGAGGAGGAGGAAGGAGGAGCAGGAGGAGCAGGAGGCGGATGGAGGAGGAGGAGGAGGAACAGGAGAGGAGGAGGGAGGAGGAGAGAAGAGGAGGAGGAGGCAGCAGGAGGAGGAGGAGGATCGGAGGAGCAGGGGGAGGAGGAGTGTCAGGGAGGAGCAGGAGGAGGAGGAGGGAGGAGGAGGAGGAGGAGGAAGGAGGAGGGGAGGAGGGGGAGGAGGAGGAGGAGGACGGAGGAGGAAGGAGGAGGAGGAGAGGAGGAGCGCGAGGAGAACGGGGCGGAGCGAGGAGGACGAGGAGGAGGAGGAAGAAGAGGCGGAGGAGTGAGTTAGGAGGAGGAGGAGGACGCGGAGGAGGAGGAGGCGGAGGAGGAGGAGGACGAGGAGAGGAGGAGCAGGACAGGAGGAGAAGCAGGAAGCAGGAGCTATGACAGGAGCAGGACAATGAACAGGAACAGAAGCAGGAGTGATGAGATGAGGAGGGAGGAGGAGGAGGAGGACAGAGGAGAAGGAGGAGGAGGAGGAGGAGAAGGGCGGAGCGGAGGCGGGAGCGCGGTAGGAGGAGGCGGAGGCAGTAGGAGGAGGAGGAGGAGGAGGAGGATGATGGAGGAGGAGGAGGAGAAGGCGGAGGGGAAGCATAAGGAGCAGAAGGACGGAGGGAGGAGGAGGAGGATGAGGAGGAGGAAGGAGGAGGGAGGAGCAGGATGGGGAGGAGGAGGAGGGAGGAGCAAGGAGGAGCAGGAGGAGGAGGAGGAGGAGGAGGAGGAGGAGGAGGAGGAGCAGGAGCAGGAGGAGAAGGAGGAGGAGGAGGAGGAGGAGAAAGAGGAAGACGAGGAGGAGGAGGAGGAGGAGGAGGAGGAGGAGGAGGAGGAGCAGGGCCCGCAGCGCTGCCGCCTTCAAGGATCGACCTGCCGCATGGCGTTGGCGGCCTGGAACCCTTGTTCGCCTCCATCAACGAGATCATTGCGGCCGTCGTCGCCACCGACGTCAAGGGGGGGGCTGCAGGGGGGAGGGTCAACGGACGGAAGGATACTGACACCGTTGCCTTCCTCGATTTTGCCCTCTTGGGCCTTTGGAGGCCCTCTTTGCCACAGCTGGATCCGTTTTGACATTCCGGTCAGAACGCATCTCGGGACGGGAGAGGTCTGGGGAGTAGCTGTATCGTTTTTTGGTTTCCTCAGGGCTGCAATCGGGGGCGCGCCGAGGGGGGAAGGCAGAGGGGGCGGGCCTTCTCAGAAGGCTCAGAAGGCCTTCGGCCTTCTGAGAAGCTCCCAGAGCCTTCTCCGAGGACAGGCGGCGTCCAAGGTCAGGGCGCTTCCGAGAAGCCACACCGCCTTGTTAGACGGCTCTGCCCCCTCTCGCTTCCCCCCTCGGCGCGCCGCCGAGAAAAGGGGGAAGGGGGACCTCACCTCCTCTCGCTGTGATCAAAGACACAATCACGGCAGGGGACTTGAAGCCAATTGTCGGCCCACGGGTGCCATGGCCAGGTCTTGGGGCTGTCAACCAACGACTCAGGATGAACCTCTGGTCCTGATGATCGTTTTCGTATTCATTGTTTTGCCGATCGGCGCGGGCCCTCGTACTGCCCCTCCCCCCATGGAGTAGATCTTGACTGTTTATGGCGCCTGCTTCAAGCAGGTGGAGTCTCCTCCGTAAGAAACGCTGCTTCAAACAGTGGCATTAGGCAGAGGTCGAGAGCCAGACCCCCCTCCCCCCTTCTGCCAATTGTCGAAGCGCCGAATCAGAACATGTTCATCTGGGGGAGGGGTCCCGATCTTTGGGGGTCTACGCTGAGAAAAAAAGCGACAACGTCGGAGTTCTGGGGAGGTGGGCATGGGGCTGGAGATGGGGATGGGGGATTCGGATGGGTGCGGGAGGAAAGAAGTGAGGGAGGGAGGGAAGGGGCAGGAGATGGGGGCAGGATGGACGTAGGAAGGGCGCCATAGGCGTCTCAAGCAAAGAGAAGGGGAGGGGATAAGCATTCCTTCCCTTCAGCCTCCCTCCCTTTCCCTCCACCCTTGTCCCTCCACATCGTCCCCCCTCCTCGTCCCTCCCGTCCCTCCCTCCCCCTCTGGCGTCGTCGTGGCCATCTTGGCCCAAGCTGCTCGCGCGCGCTCCTCGCGCGGGCGCCTGCGTAGAGCAGACGGCCAGACGGACGGGATGGGGCTCCTGGAAGTGGCTCCGTCAGACGCTCGGGCGGGGCGCGCTGCGCGGCGACGGCTGCTGCGGCGGTCGCTGTGGAGGGGGGCATTCGGCGGCTGCAGCAGCAGCTGGCGCAGGCTCTCTTCTTTCGTTTGTTCCCCGGGGCCTGCTGTCCGAGCTGGGCGCGCCGCGGGCGGTGCCAAGCGGCTGCGACGAGGTGGAGGGCCGTGTCCGCCTCGTCGCTGTCGTCCTTGCTGCTGGAGGCCGCAGGCGGTCGCAGGCGCCACCGTGCTGCCTGCTGTGGCGGCGCGCCGCAACCTCGCGGTCCACCAGCGGAGTGCCCGCGGCGCGAGTTGCGTCGGCGAGCCAGGCCGCGCTCGGCTGTATTCGGCGCGTTGGTGCAATAGGCCGTCGTCGCCGCATAAGGAGGGCCGTGCTCAGCACGCCACGAAGGAGGAGGAGGAGGAGGAGGAGGAGGAGGAGGAGGAGGAGGAGGGAGGAACAATACTAACAGGATGAGCAGGGGGAACAGGAGAAGGAGGGAGGAGGAGGAGGAGGAGCAGGAGGAGGAGGACGATGAGGAGGAGGAGGTGGAGGCGGTAGGAGGAGGAGGAGGCGGAGGAGGAGGAGGAACAATACTAACAGGATGAGCAGGGGGAACAGGAGAAGGAGGCGGAGGAGGAGGAGAGGGGAGGAGGCGGAGAGGAGGAGGAGGAGGAGGAGGCGGAGGAGGAGGAAGATGGACGAGGAGGAGGAGGTGGAGGAGGACGAGAATGAGGAGGAGGAGGAGGAGGAGGAGGAGGAGGAAGATGATGATGAGGAGGAGGAGGATAAAGAAGAGGAGGAGGACGAGGATGAGGATGAGGAGGAGGTGGAGGAGGAGGAAGACGATGAGGAACAGGACGAACAGGAGGAACATGAGGAACAGGAGGAAGAGGAGGATGCTGATGGGGATGATGATGATGATGATGATGATGATGATGATGATGATGATGATGATGATGATGATGATGCTTATGCTGCTGATGATGCTGGTGATGCTGTTGCTGCTGATGATGCTGATGATGATAATGATGATGCTGCTGCTGATGATGCTGCTGATGATGCTGATGTTGCTACTGCTGCCGATGATAATGCTGATGCTGCTGATGCTGATGCTGATGCTGGTGATGTTGATGATGAAGATGACGGTGATGTTGATGCTGACGATGATGATATTGCTGATGCTGATGATGCTGATGCTGGTGTTGATGCTGATGATGATTGTGATTATGATGTTGACCCGGCTGATGATGCTGCTGGTGATGCTGATGCTGATGAGGATGATGCTGATGATGATAATGGTGATGATGGTGATGGTGCTGAGAAGGATTATGAGCAGGAGGAGGACGAGGAGGAGGCGGCGCAGCATGAGCAGGAGGAGAAGGCGTATGAGGAGGAGGAGGAGGAACAGGATGATAATGAGGAGGAGGAGGAGGAGGGGGATGTGGAGGGTGAGGGCGAGGACGAGGAGGAGGATGAGGAGGAGGAGAAGGACGAAGATGAAGAGGAGGAGGCTGAGGAGGAGGAGGCGGACGATAATTACGATGCTGCTGGTGATGATGATGCTGCTGATGATGATGATGATGCGGTTGCTGTTACTGCTGCTGCTGCTGCTGGTGATGATGATGTCGATGATGATGCTGATGATGCTGCTGCTGATGATGCGGCTGTCGAGGATGCTGACGATGCTGTTGCTGCTGATGGTGATGCTGCTGATGATGCTGATGCTGATGCTGATTATGCATAGCTGCTGCTGATGGTGATGCCGATGCTGCTGATGAGGATGGTGCTGATGCTGATGCTGATAATGATAATGATGACGATGATGATGCTGATGATGATCATGCTGATATGGATGACGGTGAAGATGATGATGCTGTTGCGGCTGTTGCTGCTGATGTTCATTATGTTGAATATGATGATGCTGACGACTATGCTGCTGATGATGATGCTGACGATGATGACGATGATGATGATGCTGATGCTGATGATGATGCTGATGCTGATGATGACGCTGCTGATGATGCTGACGATGCTGCTGATGATGCTGATGGTGCTGATGATGACGATGTTGACGCTGCTGCTGAGGATGATGATGCTGATGATGAGGCTGATGATGCTGATGATGCTGATGCTGATGATGATGATGATGATGATGATGATGATGATGATGATGATGATGATGCTGATGCTGATGATGATGATGATGATGATGATGATGATGATGATGATGATGATGATGATGATGATGATGATGATGATACTGATGCTGATAACGCTGATGCTGATGCTGATGCTGATGCTGATGATGCTGTTGGTGATCATGACGATGTTGGTGATGATGAGGTTGTTGCTGCTGATGATGATGCGGAGGACGATGAGGAGGAGGACGAGGAGGAGGAGGAGGAGGAGTAGACGACGTAGGAGGAAGAGGAGGAGAGGAGGAGGGAGGAGGAGGAGGAGGAGGAGGAGGAGTGAGAGGGAGGAGGGAAGAAGGACGCGGAGGAGGAGGAGGAGAAGGAGGGAGGAGGAGGGAGGAGGAGGAGGGGGAGGGGAGGAGGCTTACGACGATGAGGCGGAGGCGGCGGATGAGGAGGAGGACGAGGAGGAGAGATGGAAGAGGAAGAGTGAGGGGGAGGATGAGGTGGGGATGAGGAGGAGGAGGAAAACGAGGAGGATGCGGAGGAGGAGGAGCGGAGGAGGAGTAGGAGGAGGAGGAGGAGGAGAGGATGAGGAGGAACAATAGGAGGATGCGGAGGGAGGAGGAGGCGGAGGAGGAGGAGGCGGAGGTAACAAGGGAGGAGGAGGGGAGGGGGGGCAGGAGGAGGAGGAGGAGGAGGAGGAGGAGGAAGAGGAGGCGGAGAGGAGGAGGAGAGGGAGGAGGAGGATACGGAGGGAATGGAGAGAGGAGGATGATGATGATGTATGAGGAGGAGGAGGAGGACGAGGAGGAGAGGAGGAGGAGGCTGAGGCGGAGGAGGAGGAGGAGGAGGGAGGAAGGGTGTGATGATGCGGCGGAGAGGATGAGAGGAGGATGAAGAGAGGAGGAGATGGGAGGATGAGGAGGATGAGGGAGATTGAGGAGGAGGGAGAGGCTGAGGAGGAGTACGAGGAGGAGGAGGCGGAGGAGGAAGAGGAGGAGGAAGAGGAGGCGAAGGATGACGATGCTGATGATGGTGATGATGAGGAGGAGGCGGAGGAGGGAGATGATGCGGGGGGCGAGGACGAGAAGGGTGAGGAGGAGGATGAGGATGAGGACGGAGGAGGAGGAGGAGGCGGAGGAGGCGGAGGCGGGGGCGGAGGCGGGGTCGGAGGCGGAGGAGGATGCTGAGGAGGAGGCGCAGAAGGAGGATCATGAGGAGGCAGAGGAGGACGAGGATGACGAGCAGGAGGAGCAGGAGGAGGATGAGGCGGAGGAGGAGGCCGATGATGGTGATCATGATGCAACTGATGATGTTGTTGATAATGATGATGATGATGATGATGATGATGATGATGATGATGATGATGCTGATGATGATGATGATGATGATGATGATGATGCCGTCGCGCTGGGGGCAACATGAGTAGATCCGCCCTGTAGCCATATGATGTGATGCATGATGATGTGATGCATGATTGTGATGATGATGATGATGATGCTGATGCTCATGCTGATGTGATGCGGCTGCTGATGATGATGAGGATGATATGATGATATTGTTGATGATTATGTCTGTCTGCTGATCGATGATTGACGTTACTGACGATGCTGATGCTTTTTTATGTTGTTGTTTTTCGGTTTTTTTTTGATGTTTTATTT